CTTGGGTAACTTTGTGTATGGCTCTCTCAGTTCCCCATGCTCCGACTGACCTGGCTACAGTCAATGCCCTGGGAGATGTCTTTGACTAGGGGACAGGTTTTTAAAGGTATTCAGGCACCTAACAGTTCCAATTGGTGCCTCATGGAGTTTTCAGGGCCCAGGGCACCTAGCTCTGCTGTTGTGCACCTAAATACCTTTAACAAGCTGGCCCTAAATGAAGTGCTCAAGCAGGAACCTCTGTCCCCCTGGGACTGAATGTACACTGCAGGCAGGAAGCCGTGGTAATTGGAAGACTGCAGGGATACCTGTGCTAATCTCGCTAGTTTGGGTACAAATAGTGACGCTGCAGCAGCACAGGTTACAGCACAGGGCTGTACAAGCCAGCCCGGAACCTAACGTCTATGTTCAGTCAGTGCTGCTGCAGTTTCAGTGTTATGGGAATCCAAGCTAGCTCCATCAAAGTTAGCTCGGGCGTGTCTACACATACTGCAGTCACACCTCCAAAACCTATATCCACATTGCAGTTGATCTCCTTCCCTCAAGACCGTTCGGCCAGGGATTTTCCTTACCAACAATTACCCATCCAGTTGCCTTGAAATAAAAGCAAGGTTTTATTCGGCATAGAAATTACAAGAGTAAAATTGGACTAAATGTTAAACAGAACAAAATTAGTGTAAGGACTGAATAACTGCTTAGCTCGCTGGGGCAAATTGTTCAGCTGTCCTGTATTAAAAGTTGTTAAAGTCTTGCATCTTAAATGCCATTGGTCTCTCCCCCCGCTGCTCAGAGTGCCTGGTTACTTTGTGCGTGTCTCTTAGGCCTTGGCTACACTTGCAAGTTAGAGCACATTAAATCAGCCCCGGGTGCCTTAACTCCTGAGGTGTCCACACTGGCAAGGCATGTAGAGCGCCTGGACTGCAGCTGGACCGCTCCTGGTAATCCACCTCCACGAGAAGCATAAAGCTTGATGCACCCCGGCTGAAACGCCCGGGTGTAAGTGTGGACGACGTGTTGCATTACTGCACTGTGATTGGCCTCCAGAAACATCCCATAATCCCTTGAAGTCAAGTGGCCACTCTTGTCATTGTTTTGAACTCAGCTGCAGGCATGGGGATATCCCCTTTCAAAGCTCTGTTTCTGACAGCTGGCATGCTTATCGGCTCTGGGACAAAGCAAACCATTACTGTGGAATACTAC